TCTTGGATCATTGATTTAGGAGCTTCAGATCACATATGCAGTTCTATCAAATGGTTTCATTCATATAGGAAGATTATTCCCATCAATGTTAGATTGCCAAATGGACAATGCCTTATTGCTAAACATTCTGGCACAATTCATTTTTCCTCTGACCTCATTGTGCATAATGTTCTTTTAATTCTTGAATTTTCTTTAAACCTATTATCTATTTCAAAATTGTGTGCATCCTCTAATTGCAATGTCAATTTCCTCAATTCACAATGTATTATACATGACAAAATCACCTTGAAGATGATTGGATCTGTTGAGCAGAAAGATGGATTGTACTACTTAACACTAAGAGATAATGATTCACCTACTACACATACACCTGCCTTTCACCTCTGCTCTAGCAGCCAATGTCACTTTACCAGATAGAGCCTTATGGCATTTTCGATTAGGACACTTATCTCAAAACATACTTTTGTACTTACATTCTTAATTTCCCTTTATCACAGTAAATCATAAAGATGTTTGTGATGTATGTTGTTATGCTAGACAAAGAAAGCTTTCTTATACTGTTAGTAACAATAGAGCTGCTCATCCTTATGACTTGATTCATTTTGACATTTGGGGACCCCTTGCAGTCCAATCTTTACATGGTCATTCATATTTCCTAACTGTTGTTGATGGTTGCAGCAGATACACATGGATAACTTTAATGAAAACTAAATCTGAAGCTAGACAACATGTCATAAATTTTGTTAACCTCATAGAAAACCAACATAAGCTACATGTCAAAATTATCAGAACTGATAATGGTCCTGAATTCAGCATCCCTGAATTTTATGCTTCTAAGGGAATCATCCATCAGAAAAGTTGTGTTGAATCTCCACAACAAAATGTTAGAGTGGAGAGGAAACATCAACATTTATTAAATGTTGGAAGAGCTCTCCTTTTTCAGTCAAAACTCCCAAAGATATTCTGGTCATATGCCATTTTACATGCAACATTCATCATAAATAAACTTTCTACACAAGTTTTAAACAACCTTTATCCTCATTTCATAATGCACAATACACATCCTGATATGCATAGTCTCAAAGTGTTTGGATCTCTAGCTTTTGCATCCACACTAAATGTGGATAGAACAAAACTTGAGCCTAGAGGTCGAAAAAGTGTTTTCCTAGGATACAAGAATGGTATGAAGGGTGTGGTGCTCTATGATATTAACAGTCATACAATTCTTGTTTCTAGAAATGTCATACATCATGAGCACATCTTTCCTTACTCAAATGCCAATTCCATTAATTGGGACTATCACCCTTACAAAGATCCTACTGACTCATCACAACATGATCCTACTATACTTGTTCCTTCACAAAGTATTGAATCTGCTGTTGAGAAACATGACCACCATCCTAACACAACCATCAGCCCTGAACCTATTATACATGTTCCTTCACAAAGTAGTGAATCTGCTGTTAAGGAACATGACCACCATCCTAACACAACCATCAACCCTGAACCTATTATACATGTTCCTTCACAAAGTAGTGAATCTGCTGTTAAGGAACATGACCACCATCCTAACACAACCATCAACCCTGAATTTTTAGAAAATACTGAAACAAACCATGACATTCAATATGTGCCTGACGCATTTGATATTGACAATAACAACATGCCTCTTAGACCAGCTAGAGCAAAACATACACCTCATTATCTTTCAGATTATGTGTGCAATACATCTGATGCATCAGCAGGCAAGTCATCATCAGGTACAAACAAAATTCTCTATCCTATTTCAAATTATGATTCATTACATTTTCTGTCTGCATCTCATCAAGCTTTTGCATCCAATATCACTTTTACACATGAGCCAAAGAACTACAAAGAAGCATGTTTGTCTGAACATTGGATCAAGGCCATGAAGTCTGAATTAGATGCATTAGACAAGAATAGAACTTGGAATATAGTTGATTTGCTACCACATGTCAAACCAATTGGTAACAGATGGGTGTTTAAAGTAAAGCATAGAGCAGATGGCACAATAGAGAGGTATAAAGCTCGGCTTGTTGCCAAGGGCTACAACCAAATTGAAGGGCTTGATTTTTTTGATACTTTTTCACCTGTAGCAAAGCTTAAAACTGTCAGAACTCTTCTTGCGACTGCAACCATCAATAACTGGTTCTTACATCAACTTGATGTTAACAATGCTTTTTTGCATGGGGAATTGAAGGAAGATGTGTACATGATCATACCTTAAGGTGTTTCATGTCAAAGGCCCAATCAAGTGTGTAAACTTCAAAAGAGTTTATATGGTTTGAAACAAGCTAGTCGCAAATGGTATGAAAAGTTGACATCCCTTTTACTCCAGCAGGGGTATACTCAATCTACTTCTGATTATTCCCTTTTCACTTTGAAAACAAATGCACACTTTACAGCCAGTTTAGTCTATGTCGATGATATAATCCTAGCTGGAACTTCTATGTCTGAATTTGATCGTATCAAACGCATTTTAGATGAAAGATTTAGCATCAAAGACTTGGGAATACTTAAATATTTTCTTGGCCTCGAGGTTGCCCATTCAAAAGCTGGGATTTCACTATCACAACGAAAATATTGCCTTGATCTATTGCAAGAATCTGGTCTGCTAGGATCCAAACCAGCCCCCACCCCTCTCGGTCCATCAGTTAAGTTACGTGTTGATAGTGGAAAAGCTTTTGAAGATATTGGATCCAAACCAGCCCCCACCCCTCTCGGTCCAAACCAGACATTACCTATGCCACTCAACAACTCAGCCAGTTTCTGCACAATCCAATAATGGCACACTACCACTCTGCTTGTAGAGTCATACGCTACTTGAAGAACAACCCTGGCAGAGGAATTCTGTTTCGCAGAAATGCTGAGCTACAATTTCTTGGCTTCTTAGATTCTGATTGGGCAGGGTGCATTGATTCAAGGAAGTCTATTTCAGGATATTGTTTTTTCCTTGGTACTTCTCTCATATCATGGCGTGCAAAGAAACAAAACACTATTTCCAGATCATCATCAGAAGCTGAGTATCAAGCACTGTCATTTTCCACATGTGAATTACTTTGGTTGATAGCCCTTATGAAGGAACTGCGCATCAAGTGTACCAAGCTTCCTGTTCTTTATTGTGACAGCCAAAGTGCGATGCACATTGCACTCAATCTGGTATTTCATGAACAAACCAAACATCTTGAGATCGATTGCCATTTGGCCCGTGAAAAACTACAACAAAGATTACTGCGACTCCTACCAATCTCCACCCATGAACAACTTGCTGATTTTCTAACTAAAGCATTATCAACTTCAACTTTCAACAAGTTTATTTCCAAGCTTGGCATGATCAACATTCACCATGCCTAGCTTGAGAGGGGCTGTTAAGATTAGCTATTCTAATCATTAGAATAGATTAGTTGATCATTATAGTTGATAAAATAATTGTTAGTTAGGTAGTTACTAGTTAGTTAGATTGGTTGTTATGTGATAAGAGTGATCTATATAAAGGTTGTAATATCACACATGAAGTCATAACAAAGTTTTGCTCTCTTCTTCAAGTATTCATCTCTTCTTTTCATCTTGTTATTTCTTCTTCAATGGAAGAATAACTCTATCATCTATAACATATATAAAGGCAATACTTGATTTTTGGTGTAGCTTTTTTTTATACCAAATTTACCCTTATTTTAAAATATATAACTTACACAATAACTTCCATTGAACTACTACTATCATCTTTCATATAACTCCCTACTAATAACTTCCCACATAACTTCCATGTAAAATTAATATTAAATAAAAATATATCATTTATATTTATATGTGTGCAATAAAAAAGCGGACAGACGGGCACGCGAGTGCCCGTCTGGACGCTAGTAATACATAATATACACAATGTTTCGACTAATATGCTTTTATAATATTTTTCATAAACTTTGTTGACTTTGTTCTTTAGAATATTAAAAAAAATTAAAGTTATATATATATATATATATATATATATATATATATATATATATATATATATATATATATATATATATATATATATATATATATATATATATATTTTAGATTTCAAGTTATAATGAAGATTTCTCCAAATTAAAAACTTTTCTCTCTTTCTCTCTAGCTCTCTCTTTATAATTAATGTTTTTAATCAATTTGTTGTTGTTTTTCAATCATTGAATTAGACACTATAGTGATAAGATAATAGAAATATCATGAGATGATCTTATTCCAAACAATAATGATGGATTGCCATAATATTCTATCCAGACTATACTTCTATCTAAATCGTTAATATTAATATCATTTTTAATAACTTTTATATATATATATATATATATATATATATATATATATATATATATATATATATATATATATATATATATATATATATATATATATATATATATATATATATATATATATATAAAATTCAAGTAAACAAGATATAAATATTTTTTTCTCTTTTATCCTTTATCGAATATTCGATTTGGTTCTTTACATAATTTTATTCTTTTTAATTCTTTATCTTTTATAATAATCATTTATCTTTCACCTACTATTAATTTGGTCAGTCATTTTACCTATATTGATAAAGGATTAGAAATAAATATCGGATAAAAGAATGAAAAAACAAAGACAAAGTATAAGAATAAATAAATGATCAAAATAAGTATTAGAGAAAAGAAAAAAAATTCCAACCAATAAAAAGAATGTAAATAAGTAATAACTAATAAAAGGTTTTATATTAACCAACATCTTTTATTGAGCAACAAATTTCACACTTGTAAAGAAAACAACCTTACACCCCTAAATTGTATATTGTATAGATAGATGATAGATCATGATTCCATGCAGCAAATACACAGAAAAAATCATACATATATATGAATTACACTATGTCTATTCAACCTTTGAGTTATATTTGTTGCTTAATGTAGTTTTATTTATTTATTTTGTAAATATGGATGATTTTAGTTTCAATTTCCTGATCCAGCATGGGAACCGGCATATGAACCAGCTTCCGAACCCGCTTCAGAAGACCCTGACCCAGCTCCGGCATGAGAACCTGCATATGAACCGGCTTCGGAACCTGCTTCAGAACCGGTTCCTGACCCAGCATGAGATCCTGCATTGGAACCAGCTTCAGAACCGGCTTCAGAACCAGCTCCTGATCCAGCCCCTGACCCAGCATGAGACCCTGCACGAGAACCAGCTTCTGAACCTGCTTCAGAACCGGCTCCTGACCCTGCATGAGATCCTGCATGTGAACCAGCTTCAGAGCCTGCTTGAGAACCGGCTCCTGAACCAGCCTCAGACCCAGCATGAGATCCTGCACGAGAACCAGCTTCTGAACCCGCATCCGAACTGGCTCCTGACCCTGCATGAGATCCCGCATGTGAACCAGCTTCGGAGCCTGCTTGAGAACCGGCTCCTGAACCAGCCTCAGACCCAGCATGAGATCCTGCACGAGAACCAGCTTCTGAACCCGCATCCGAACTGGCTCCTGACCCTGCATGAGATCCTGCATGTGAACCAGCTTCGGAGCCTGCTTGAGAACCGGCTCCTGAACCAGCCTCAGACCCAGCATGAGATCCTGCACGAGAACCAGCTTCTGAACCCGCATTGGAACCGGCTCCTGACCCTGCATGAGATCCTGCATGTGAACCAGCTTCGGAGCCTGCTTGAGAACCGTCTCCTGAACCAGCCTCTGACCCAGCATGAGATCCTGCACGAGAACCAGCTTCTGAACCCGCATCGGAACCGGCTCCTGACCCTGCATGAGATCCTGCATGTGAACCAGCTTCGGAGCCTGCTTGAGAACCGGCTCCTGATCCAGCCCCTGACCCTGCATGTGAACCAGCTTCAGAGCCTGCTTGAGAACCGGCTCCTGACCCAGCCCCTGAACCAGCATGAGATCCTGCATGTGAACCAGCCTCAGAACCTGCTCCAGAAGACCCTGATCCCGATCCCGATCCTGAAGCAGAACCAGAACCAGAACTTGAACCAGATCCAGACCCTGCACCTGCACCAGAGCCAGCACCACTTCCCCCACCAAGTCCAATTCCCACACCAGAACCCATTCCAATTCCCACACCAGAACCCATTCCAATTCCTAAACCAGAACCCGTTCCAACTCCCACCCCACCCAGGTTCAAGCCAAGATCCTTTCGTGCTATTCTACATTCACATGCTATAGCACTCATTGCAACAAGCAAAGCTACAGCAGCTAAAATCCTCATGAAGGCCATTGTGATAAAACTCAAAGATATCGATCAGCACAAGGTTAGAAAATACTTGGAAGTTTGAACTTAGCTAAAGCAAATATGGAATAGAGGATAGAAAGTTTTAGTTGTAGAGAAAAGTGTTGAGTTATGCATGCTATTTATAGATGATAATGCCCAATATCGACAGTGATAGTAATACTATAGCTATAATGTGCGTCGGCAACAAACAGTTGTAAGAGCTGGAACCGTGCATGCGTATCAAAATGGGACAATGTAGGAAGTAGTGGTGTGGTGCCACAAGTCTATTATTTTTTTCTTCTGGTGTAGAATTTTTTATAGAAGAAATTATATATATATATATATATATATATATATATATATATATATATATATATATATATTCATCGTCATTGTTGAGATGAGGCCATTAGTAACAGTACATGGCACTCACTGGGCCATAATGTATAGTATATAGTGATAGTGGATTTGATACGTGCCATATCTAAGTTCAAGAAGAAAAACTATTGAAGATATGTTTTCTTAATTGAAGTCACTAAAGCACGTTGAAGATGTAATATAACACATGCGGAGAACATTCTGGAAAAGTTACCAAGATTTGTCTTGTTAGAAATTTTTATTTTCGTAGGTGAAGGATAGGGATTCATTGAAGAATTGTGGGTGGCCGTTCAGAAACATATTTTACCTATATGTGACTAGCTTTTATTGATGTTGAGTAAATTTCTCACATTTTTTCAATGCAGAACCTAAAAAAACCATATATATATATATATATATATATATATATATATATATATATATATATATATATATATATATATATATATATATATATATATATATATATATATATATATATATATATATATATATATATATATATATATATATGAATTCATATTTGAAACACAATCAACCATTGTAATTGGTTCGACTGAAAGAATGAATTCATATTTTCCTAAAAAACTTATTTTTATATTTCCTTCATTCTTGAAATAGCTTGCCACCGATCATAAGGAGCTTTTATTCTCCAACAATTCTTTTCAAAGAGTTGAGGATTTGAAAGCTCGATATGATCTTGTTGAGGCGAAAGTATCTGGTTTCGAGAGGAATTGTTCAGTACAACCATCTAGATGAAGTTTCTTCTTTCTTAGATGAAGTGAAACAATTTATCTCGTAGCCTTAGCTGGTTGCCTTACCGAGCTTGAGATGATGCTCAAAGAGAAAAGTCGGAATGTTAAATAGACGGAGCTTAAGTCAGAGACTTCGTCTTATGCAGGTTAGGATATTGAAACTGAGATTGAGGAGAAAAGGACTGGCTAGGTTAAGGCTCTAGAGGCTCTCAAAGAGGAACGAGCCACTTTGGATGGCCATTTGCAGGACCTTTTTCCGAAGATGACCTGAAAGAAGTTATTTTTCGTAATGTTTTATGTCTGTTGGAGTTCCTAGTTCCCGACCTCAGAGTTTTCCATAATTATTTCTCCTTGTAACATGCTATTTAATATATTAAATGATGATATTAGTCACATTATAATTTTATTATAGTCAATCTTCCTGTTTTGGTACACAATTTTGGTGCTTCCCGACACTATCTTTAGCGTTTGTCTTTGTTTCCTCAGCGGTGGGGTTCAGAACTAACGAGATATGGTCGTATCTTTGAACAACTATCTGCATCACAGAGGAATGTTCCCCAACCAAGAGTAGGATCTCTGTCCCTGCCCCGAGGTACGACCAAGATCATGGAGCACGTCTCTAGGCTCCACCATCTAACTCCATTGGATTGACAATATCCGAATGGGTAGGGGGTTGCGCCAACTACGCAGAAATGCGCTTGGGTTGTATCAACTATGCATTCATATGCTTAAGTTGTATTAGTTATACATTAACGCGCTTAGACTGTATCGACTACGCATATATATGTTTAGGTTGTATCAGCGGCGCATGAATGCACTTTAGAATGTTTTTAAGACGTATCAAATATGCAGAAAAATGTGTATCCTGTATCGGATACACCAAGGTGCATGTAATCTTTGGCTCTCCGTCTTTAAGGTCCTATAGAAAGATAAACAAGAAAGAAAACAATATGGGAACGATAATATGTGGATATTTATATTCATATTGGAGCAAACTAATTAAATTCAAATGGAATTGAATTGGAAAAGTAAATCATTAACTATAATATCGCTTCAACTTTGAGACATTCCATGTTCTTGAGATTTACTCTCCTTATAGGGACTCTAAGATGTACGCTCTCTTCTAGTGCTAGTCCACGTGCAGTAGGTGTTAGAATAAGATTTGGTTATGTATTTATACCTATGTGTTTTGATGATAACAATGTAGTATTTGTGTGAGAACAATTTTGGTACCCTAACGGTTTGTTATTGTGTAGCTTTAACAGGAAGTTCTGATTCTGGAAACATGACGTGCAAGTCATCAGTTTTTGAACTTTGTGTTCCGAAATTCACATTTGTATTGATTCACTTCTAAGAAGCTTTTGGAAAGACGCTATGTTGCTGCTACAATGTTCTCTCAGTTTCTGCTTCTGGATGTGACTCTGACCATCAAGCTTCTAAATAATGGCAAACTTCTGAAGTTTATGTTCTTAGTTGAAGATTATGAAGATTATGAAGTTTCTGAAGATCTCAAGTCAGACGCTGATGTTGTCAAGGTTTTGATTGATGATTCTGAAGATTCTAATTTCATCTTCATATTTCTTCTTTTCATGCTTCATCAACTTTTCATCTAAAACCAATGAATTTGAAGATAAGACTAAGTGATCAAATAGTACATGGTACAAAACGAAAATATTCCTTCCACTAACATGAAATTGTGGGTGAAGAACTGTACTATTCTCCACACATGTCACTAATCCGTTAGTGCATAGCCGCATTTCTCGTATTCTTGATTTTCCCTCCAAAGGTTCATTTTTCATGTTATATAAAGAGGACTTGAAGACTTGAAGAAAATAGCCAATTTTTACAAGACTGTTTCTACGTGAAAAGCCTACAATTTTGTTTCACACGGTGATTCCAAATCTGAGGTTGGATTTCACCAAAACCTCACCAAACGGCTGGATCGGGCCTTTCCCTCAACCAAACCCTGGTTTAAAACCCCAATGAAAACAACAATTCAACAATGAAAATGAAACAAGGCACTGCAACAAATCAGAGGTTTACTTCAGAACGACAAAATCAAGCCTATTACGACTAAAACTAAGCAAGAAGATGAAACTACCTTTGTAGATTTCCAGGTACCAAGATTTATCTCCCTTCTCTTAGTCACTTTTGAATCATTCTTCTTCTCTCCTTCTATCAATTGCTTGTTGTTGATACTATTCATGCGTAGTAAGCTTAGGGTCAAGCTCACAACATTTATAATTTCAATGAGAAATTCCAAATGTGTTGTATTTTTGGAGCTTTTGTGTAGGTTAATGATGGTTCTAAATGTGTTATTTATTTTTTGCAAAGTCATTGCGTCCTCTTTTATCTGATGCAAACGATGGTTATTTATATCAATTTCTTCTCATATGTGCCACAATGGGATCAAGTTTTGAAGACTTGTGTGAAGGGAATAAAAATATGTTAGAGTCGTGTGGACCACCCTTATTTTGTGGGATTTGGAGGAGGGGCGGAAGAATGCGTGAAGATTGTTTTTGCGTGTGAACTTTCATCAGATATTTGTAACTTTTGGCACTTTGTGCACTGTAATTTCCTTTACTGTCTATAGTTTTTGAATGTAATCTCTTCACTAATGTAATTTGAACATTTGATAATAGTAAAATCAAGGGTCGAAATTCCATCTTTGTATTGTTATTATGATGCAGAATTAAATCACTTTTGGTAATTGAATTGGAACTCTGAATTAGCATTATGCTAGTGTTATTAAAACATGAATTGAACATGTAAAGTGGTCCCAAACCAATATGGCTTGGCTTAACTATGGCTTGAATCAAGTGGCTCAAAACAACTTGATAATGGCTTGGCTTTGGAAAAGGGCTTTGATTGTGTAATGGGGTTCACAACATTGACTTGTATTACTTGCACCACCAATTTTTCCTTTGTAACCTTGACAAGTAAAAAGAACATTTTGTCGTTTTCCATATTGCTACCTCCCATTAAAGGGATAAGTATATTTGAAACAATGACAATGGTTCCAAGCATAACAAGGCAATGTTTAAAACCAAGTAGAATCCCATCAGGCCATGAAGGAGAACTTGTAATACACTAATCAATACCAGGAAGTTGACCAGTGTCTGGATGCGGTTGAAATCATCAACTTTTCCTCCAAACTTTTGAGTTAAAACTAAAAAAACTAGAGCCAAACAAAACAACATGCTTCAAACCAAGTTCTCCAAGATATGTGACCAAAAGAATTAACCTGACTTATAGTATAAGACATATGAGTTCAAATGAGCTTAATGCTAAAATTACAACAGCCAATGCCATGAAATACATGTAACAAGAAGATATAAAGTAACAAGTGAAAATCCTAGATAAATCCCAAGTGTGATTGAGTGCTAGCAATAACATGTAGACCTATCACATCCTGATTTTGGGAGAGCCACGACCTTAGTCTAAGAGATCATGGCCAAAGGCCAAATGATCATCTTAAAGAATGACCAATCATAGTGCAAATACTTAAGACAGGATAAATAAAAAGGTAGGACAATTTTGGGGTATAACAAATGCCCCTTTCTTATTGCCTTGAACCCGTGGAAATGAAATGCTACATGAGATCATTTTTAGGGTAGAAGTCAATTAGATACAAGAAGACCCCAAAATTTGTCTAATAAAAATGTAAAATACAATGCAATGAGATATAAAAATGGGATAGCAAAATGCAAATTTGAACAAATCATGTAAGATTCTTTGGATTACCAAAGCAATATCTCAATGCAAGAGATGAAATTCTCCAATTCGCACGAAGCAGTACCTTATGACTTAAGGCTCTTCGGGGAGCTTTAGAGTAACTTAACAAAGAAATAAGGTTATCCACATCGCATGAAG